GAATCTGGCTTTCTCGTCATAATTTTTTTATCTCTTATCTTTTATGGAAGATCTTGACTTGCATAATAAATTACAGCTCTTCAGGGAACAATTTTTTTAAAAAAAAAAATCGAAGGGTTCAAATTAATTAAATAACTATGATTCAATCAAAATAATCATCATTTTAACTTCTAAAACTAAGAGAATAATAATTAAATAAGAAAAAAGTAAATTTCATATTTAATTTATATACATAACCATATTGTAATTAATGAAAAATTTATTTGATAAGCTACATAAAACTAACGGAAAAATTGAAAAGAATGAATGGCCAAAAATGAAAGAAAAATTTTGTTAGGAATGACTTCCAAAAAGGTTGTTAATGAATCAAATTCAATAATATGAGTTGTCGTTTTATGAAGTGATCTAAGCGTAAATGGAATTAATGCTAATTTTTAAAAACAATGACATTTAACTGAGTTAACTCTAAGAGGTCTTCAGTCCCGGAAAAAAAAAAAATCTAAGAAGTCTAACTTATCTCCCTAAATTACACTTGTGTGATACTAAATTATATATCATTTTATAAGTTAGATAAATTAATTTAAAAAAAAAAAGAAGATAAATATTAGAGATAAAAATGAATTAATATATATCTTGCAACTCTCTTAACTCGCCCTTTAAGACTGGAGGAGTATTTAGTAATTCTCAGCTATTGCAGTCTAATTAGATAATGGTCCCAACTCATGATTCTCAATTCACTCACTCACTCTCTCTGTCTCTCTCATTCTCTTCCTCTTTGCTGAAAACTAACTCTGAGAAAACCATGAAGATGGAAGCATTATGGCTTCTGGCTTTGCTTTTGGCTGCTTCTTCAATCATGGACCTTCGAACGTCTGCGCAAGCAGTTGTTCCATCAGACGGTGGTGATGATACTGATACAGGCCGTAAGCACTTCGACCGGTTTCTTCTTTGAATTCCAATTTAGATTCTTCTGATCCCAGGACTCGTTTTATTATTCTGTTTTTCTCATGTTTTACGTAATTTTTAACACCACCAAGTTGGAAATTTATGATTCGTTTTCATGCCCCCCCCCCCAATTTTCACATATCAAAAGTCAAAACGCTTATGATGAGAGTGGTTTATCATGGACAATGATTTTAAAACTAACTTACAGTTCTGTAATTTATATCTTTACAAAATTTTCAATAGGTCTTCACAAATTTTGGTATTATACTGCTCCTGGCTCTGCTACCGACTATTTATAAGCCATGCAATGCAGTTGCAGCTGCCACCAAATTTTGAGTATCTTTTTTCTTTTCATTTTCATTTTATACTGTTTATTTACAAATTTCAGTAAAATTCAAATACCAGAAAATTAATATGATCTTGCAAAAATTATGATTGCTCAAATTGTCGTCGTAGTCTAAATTTATATTTTAAGTTTAATGTCTTGCAATTGATTATTATTTATTTTAATTTTTGAAGTTAAAATTTAATTTGATATTTTATTTATTGTAAAAAAACAAGTATACTCTAATTAAAAAAATCATATGAAAATTGTCAGGACTATTCAAATTTGATTTGGAGAGGGAAAATTTGCTAATTTAGATCCTCACCTCAATTGACCGACATCAACCTTCAGATGATTTCATGGCCATTGAGGAGGCGTCATGTCAATGAAAACAAAAAAAGGAAGGGAGAGTTACAAATTTATTTTTTGAAATCGTAATGACCATCAACCATCATTCACCATTGAGCCTCATACCTATAAATATATATATTTATTGTGTGCTCTATAACCACGTATTCTCTGGGTTCTTTGCATATGTAAGACCTCTTTTGGAAAGTTTTCTTGATCCTAAATAAATATATGACAAAAAAATTTTAATCGTGCTGAAGTGGTTAAAAAGTCCTCATAAGAAGAATGGGAGGGAGTCATTTTTCCTAGCCATTTGCATGGAATTTGACCAATGACTCAAAGTTAATGGATTTTGACACACTTTTTTTTTTACATTTTTTTTGGCAAAGTTGTTAAAAAAGTCCTTATAAAAATCAACAAGCCAGCTAATTTCTTATAATGCGACAATCTAAAATTTAACTAAAAAAAATACTTATATTTAGTATCTGACAATATTTTAAGTAAAATTGCCTTCCATAAAAAGTTATCATGCTTGTTAAAAAAAATTCTTTATGAAGAGAACGGTACAGAGTAGTAAAGAATAATTTACTGAGATTTTTCCGAGGCATTGCGTGGAACTTGAACAATGAGTCAACGTTAATGGATTTTATCTCTGACATCCATATATTGATGATTCACAATTCATATATGTTTGTCTAGCCACTCTCCCCACTACGTATACGTAAAAATTAACCTATTTAATTTGTTTGTCTTCCAATTTAATTAGGGGCGATAAGCATTGATTGTGGGGTAACTCAAGACATCCGGGATTCAAATGGATTCTATCATGACGCAGATGACGCAGAGTTTGTAGAATCTGGCAAGATATATAATCTATCCTCTTATAATAACTTCGATAATGGTCAAGAACAGGTGTGGGAGCAGATGAGAACATTGAGAAGTTTTCCAGAAGGGAAAAGGAACTGCTATTCACTGAAACCCAAGGAAGGCAAAAACAACAACTATCTCATTAGGGTTTACATGTTCTATGGAAACTATGACAACAAAAACTTCATTCCATCCTTTCATCTACATATTGGTGTCAACTTTTGGACAGAAATTAAGTTTGAGAATGCCAGTGTTATTCGACGAAAAACAGTTGCCCAAGTTTCCCCGACAAACTACATCGACGTGTGTCTTATAAACATTGGTAATGGCATACCCTTTGTTTCGCTGTTGGAATTGTGGCCCTTGTCAAACTTTATATATCGAGCCTCCTCCAGTTTACTGATTAGGCCTCATGACATGTGTTAACTTGGGTATGTCCGAAGACCTTAAATTTATCAGGTATGTGTTTTAATATGAACGTTATGTATAATCGGAATATATATATATATCTGTCTGCTTATGTCAGAGTTCATTAAAGTCTTTTGCTGACATAATAATGCAGATATGCGGATGATATCTATGGTAGGTCCTGGTTCAATGTAAAGCTTGATAACTCAGAGCGGTTCTCTACACCAGAAGCAACTAACGTTGACGTAAAAGAGTATAGACTACCAGATGAAGTGTTAAGAACTGCAGTCCGACCACTGAATAATTTGTCTTCCTTATATATCAACTTGACCTCCATTAATTTTACAGCAGAGAGCGAACATTATGTTTACCTTCATTTTTTTGATTTCGAGGAGCATTCTCAGGGTCAAGTAAGAAGCATGGAAATTACTTTCACTGATGAGATCCGAGATGCTGTAACTCTTAGATACCAGGATGTCTATACCTTGGCAAAGAGAATTCCAAAAGGTGTTCTTGTTGATCGTATTTCAATCACATCAACCCCAGGCTCTGGCTTACCCCCCATGATCAATGCTTATGAGATTTATGGAGCATTACCCCAACCAAATTCACCATCTCATGAAGAAGATGGCAAGTATACTGATTGATATATATATATATATATATATATATATATATATTTATATATTTTACTCCGATCTTTCTCTGCTTATGCTTTAGCTATATATTGATTGTTTTAGGCAGCTCTCTCTCATATTGGTCTATCATCCGAGTTGTTTTAAATCAATTAGAGTAAAAACCATTTGTTCATCCACAATTTTGTACCATATTTCATATTTTCTTCAATTTAGGAAGTCACAAGGTCACTTCCATTTAACAGTTGTTACCTTGCGGAACATCAAACATGCCTATAACATCATGAGAATCAGTTGGCAAGGTGACCCCTGCATGCCAAAAGAGTATAGATGGGAAGGTGTTACTTGTAATTACTCTGACAGCATTCCAAGGGTCACTTCTTTGTAAGTAATGGTCTTTTGATCTTTTTTAATTTTCAGAGTTCTAATGCATGATCATCTTCATCTGTTCATGCTGTTTAGTGATGTATCAGATATTATTTTAAGTAGCAGAAAAAAAGTTTGTCTTTGCTTTCACTTTTGTCTCTCGTGTTCTTTGCTTGTGTTTTTCTCGGAAACAACATTTTCATTCTTATCAGTGTCCGAACAGGAACATGAGCTCAAGCAAATTGATAGGAGATATTGTAACTTCATTCTCCAGTCTCATGACATTGGAGAGCTTGTAAGTATCATCTACACAAAGTCAACTTTTGTATATTTTTCCTACCATATATTATAGAAACTTCACATTGTCTGTCTCTACAAGCCAAATAACTTCTGTTATTTACTAATTATATATGTGACGGTATATAATGAGTCTCACATTGTAGGGATTTGTCAAACAACCAATTAACAGGGGAAATACCAGAATCTTTAGCAAAATTACCCAGTTTGAAACTACTGTAAGTTGCAATCTTGAGCATAGCAGCAATAATTTCTTGTTCAAGAAGTCTTGCAATTTATCTCACTGATAAGTCTACAGTAACTTGACAGGAAATAATCTCAAAGGTTCAATTCCCGAGGCTCTGAGGGAGAAGTCGACTACTGGTTTAACTTTGATGTATGTTTATATTTAATGTAACTTAATTTAATTTCATTACACAGTATAGTTGCATTCTCTAAAGTGAATATTTTCTCTTCTTTTCACAACAAGGCTATTCAAAATATTATATGATTTGTCTTTAACTCATTTCCCCTGTTTGAAGTCGACCACTGGTTTAACTTTGATGTACGTTTATATTTAATGTAACTTAATTTAATTTCATTACGCAGTAGAGTTGCATTCTCTAAAGTGAATTTTTTTTCTTCTTTTCAGAACAAGAGTATTCAAAAGATTATATAACTTGTTTTTAACTCATTTCCCCTGTTTGTTATGTTAAATGTAGTCTTCATCTCTTATATTACTGATATTGATAAATATATGCAGGTCATCATTTGTTTCCTCATTCGTTAAAACTGACACTTGCATTTTGATGATATATACTTTCTCCTAGTTTGGAAGGAAATCCAGGTCTCTGTAAGACAGGGTCTTGCAAAACCATTACAAAGAAGTTCATAAAACCACTTGTTGCATCCGCAGCCTCTGTGGTGGTTCTTGCAATAATAGTCTGCATTTCTTTGATTCTCTGCAAATACAAAAGAAAACATCTTAGTGACACGAAAGGTGACCAAGAGCCCCATTTTTCTTCAATCCTTTGTATTTATTTTTCTTGTATATAAGTCTTTAGATGTGATTAACTTACCCTTTTTCTTGTCTATGTATAGATGGTCCCTGCTTAGTTGGAAATGGAAAGTTTTCTGTGAAATACTAGTACTCTATTGTATTAGATTTCTTATACAAATGAAATTTTATTTTGCATTGCTACAGCGTTGTTTTCCAAAAAATATGGTCAGCTTAAATCAAAGAATCAAGGATTTTCTCAGGCTGAAGTTCATGGGATTACCAATGACTTTGCAACTGAAATTGGAGGAGGGGGATTTGGAAAAGTGTACCTTGGAAGACTAAAAGATGGTACTCAAGTTGCAGTCAAATTACTTTCTAAGTCATCACAGCAAGGACTGAATGAGTTTCAATCAGAGGTGAAAACCGTGAACTATTTGTGTTCAGCTATAAATCATTTCTTTTACATTACATTACCTCAGTTCCAAATGTAAGTCATTTGTTTTAAAAGTCTTGGGCTTCAAAACTGAGTTTACGTCTATACCATTAAATGCTTGTTTTAAGAATCAAAGAGCAAAGAGAGAACAACATTGATTATCAAAGGCAAACTTGAAAAGAAATTCTATTTGAAACACAAAAACTATCTGTGGCCAATTTTCCTAATGTGCGAGGCAGGTACCTGTGACTTATATCCGGAACCGTAGGAAGCATCATTTTTGCTTAATTATTTTATTGAGTCATGATATATAATGATAAGGCTCAAAATGCAGGCAAAACTGTTATCCCTTATTTATCATAGAAATCTAGTTTCTCTTATTGGTTTTTGTGACGATGGGGACATGAGAGCTCTGATTTATGAATACATGGCAAAGGGAAATCTCCAGCACCTCCTGTCAGGTTTGTTAAGTCTTAATTTCCCACTATATAACTTACAATTAAAAAAATATTTTTACGTCAGCTCTAGAATTTTCTTCTTACAATTAAGAATACAGGAGTCATTTTATGTTTTAATTTGGGTTACTAGTTGTTTTAAGATTTTCCCTGACAGTTTTCAAGGTTTTGCAGATAAGAACCCAGATATTTTGAGGTGGAATGATAGACTTCAAATTGCATTAGATGCAGCATCTGGTTTGTAGACTTTTATTTTTTTCCCCATCATTGCATTGCAAGTTCATTTTCCATTGCTGTTCAATTTTTGTTCTTTACCTTTATTATAACTTAAGTATTCACTTTACTTTTGGTCAATGGAATGCAGGATTGGACTATCTACACAACGGTTGTAAGCCACCAATAATTCACAGGGACATAAAATCTTCTAACATTTTGCTAAATGAAACCATGCAAGCCAAAATTGCTGATTTGGGATTGTCTAAAGCTTTTGCCAATGATACTGACACTCACATTTCAACTCGCCCGGCAGGCACATTTGGTTATCTCGACCCTGAGTATGTTATTATATAATAACTTTTATTATCTTTTTTCTTTCACAATCCCTTCATAGAATAGTTTATTAATTAGCATTGTGTTCATATCATCCAACCCTGTCTAGCCATACATATAATAATTGCAACTTCAGTAATATCCACAGCCTTGAAATTTACCGTTGATGGTTAAAAATAAATTAAACCGCTTGCTGAGCTTAATCAATTTCTTCAAAGACCGATTAATCTTTCAAAATTTGCAGGTTCCACAGAACTGGAAACTTGAACAAAAAAAGTGATGTTTATAGTTTTGGGATAATTTTGCTTGAGCTAATGACCGGCCAGCGAGCAATAACTGGAACCCCTGAAGGCACATGCCACATATCTGATTGGGTAAATCCAAAGCTTGAGAATGGTGACATCCAAGCCATTGTGGATCCAAGATTAGAAGGGAAATTCAGTAGTGCTTCAGCATGGAAGTTTCTAGAGATAGCCATTTCTTGCATTAGGCCATCTGCAATCCAAAGACCTGATATAAGTTGTGTTGTAATTGATCTAAAGCAGTGTGTGGCTATGGAAACATCAGTTGAAAGTGCAGAAAGCAGTAGTTTAATCTCAAGCACGACATTGGAGACAAGTTATTCTCAGTCTGGATCATACTCACCTCCATCTGCTAGGTAGCATAGGCACGCATGGTCTTTCCAAGACTTGATCAAACTGTCTATTTTTCTTAGTCAAACTGCTTGTTTGTTTGTTTGTTTGTTTTGTTCTAACTATATGTGTATGCATTGAAGGTTCTGTATTTGCTGTTTTTAGTCTTACAGTAGCTATTTGACCGTAGAAGGAAACATGTTTAGGAGCTATTTGTGACTTGTGAGCCGTTTATATATACGGGATATACTTTGATCATACAAATTCCAGTTCATCTCAATCATATCACTTTTAAAATACTTAAACAAAATATCAATTTTGTCAATTTGCTAGCGGCGATTTTTGCCAGTGCCATTAATGTTCACTAATGGAAGAATAGTCTAATTTTAACCATTAATATCAGTACATGAAAAAATATGTCTAATATTAGCTTCCCTCTATGCTACTCCTTTAGTCATTAATATAGTACTTAATTATTGAGTTAATTTTAATCCTAAATATTCCTATTGATACTCTCTCAACCATAATCAAGTAAAGAGAATAAGAAGATATTAAAGAAAATGGTTATGGTATTTGAGAAAAAACATGTCATGTTTTTTATAATTAGCTAACTTGCCTAAATTTTTTAATCTAATCAAATTAGCTAAATAGGTCTTATATTAAGGATTGAGAAGTAGCTTTTTTTCCAAAAAAGGAAAAAAGAAAAACTAGTTTTCAGATCAGCACAATGTTCTTGACATTTCATGTCTCCTACTATATGACCCTTTTCTTTTGCTTTGTTTTACTTGACAACTCACTCCCCTTCCTTTTTTTTCCAAAAAAGGAAAAAAGAAAAATTAGTTTTCAGATCAGCACAATGTTCTTGACACTTCATGTCTCCCACTGAATGACCCTTTTCTTTTGCTTTGTTTTATTTGACAACTCACTCCCCTTCCTTTTTCTTCCCTACAGGTTTTAAGTGGCATCATGCGGGTCACTACTCCTTCAAAGCACCAATTTCTCATCCCTTCCTCAAATTAAAGTATCATTTCTTTCACAAATATCATATCTTAATTGAATCCAAATCACATGGTAGAAAAGAAAATTATAAAGGAGTGATCCGAATGAAATTCTTGCCAGTTTAATTAAAATTCATTCATTTATTAACACTTATATATTTATTTTATTATAGCTTTAATATTTCTTTTGCATAATTTATTTCATCAATAATGATGCTTGTTTCATATTCTATGCAAAAAGCTCAATGACCCATGAAATAATTTATTTTTTATATTAATGTACTGAGATTAAGTCCAAACTCTAAACTGGAAGAGTACTCTGGACCAAACTCTTTCCCCTTTTAACTAAAGCCGCTTTAGTTGAATTGCTGTTACTTTAAGTTAGTCTTCTTTTTAGGCAATATGAGCTTCTGTGGCTCCTGAAAGCAGAACCAGTAGTTTAAGCAAACCCAGTCCACCATTTCTTTGTCGTTCCTCTTTCCGATAAACTTGGAAACATGAAGAGCACGCCATCACTGTGGATTCTCGCTTGCTCTGTTTTTGTTTCATTCATACAAGTTGTTGCAGATGATGGCAGCGATTCCGGTCAGATCTTCATCTGCTTTTCAGTCTTTCTTTCTTTGCTTTTTCTTTGGTAGATAGGAAATTATACGGGAGAATTGCACTAAGATCCTATGGAAGGAACAAAAAATTCTGATAGCAACAAGTTAGCAGCTTGTAATGACAAGTTGCATAGCAGAAAATAATAACTAGTTTTAATTGTTTGCTTTTTATTGTGATTTTTCAGTAATTCTCAGTTCATTTCTTTTTTCTTTTGCTATGTTCTTTCTTGCTTCAGAGATTATGTAAATTATAAATTTATAGTTTGAATTTTTGAACACATTTTTTTACTACTAACATTTGTAAAAATATTTAGTCAAGTATATATTTATTAAAATAACTAATTGAAATTTGAATCAAGTTCTTTTGTTTACATTGAAGCTTCTATACCAATATGATAAAAATATTAAACAAATAGGTAGGTGAAACATAGAAGAAAAGAAGAACAATACGCTTAAATTCTTTAAAATAATTTTAACCAAAATTAGAGATTTAGCATGAGGGTAATCAGTAAATAAAACATTTTTTTAGAATATTGTAGATGTGGATCCTCTCCTTATCTGTGTTTTCTCCTCGTCCTGTCCCTACCCCTGAATAAAAAAGAAACATGGTTGATTTTCAATATTTCATAAAATCATTATTGTTGAGATTAAATTTATTTTTTTTAAATGTAATATTTAAATCACAATTTTATAAATTATTAAATCTCAATCGTTCATTTGGCAATTGAATATTAACGATAAGATGAAGAGAAAGAAAAGGAGAAAAAAAGAGTAGAAAATGAACCAAATCTAAATTGTTTACTGTGTGAAAAGTTTAAACTTAAGTGGGTGTTTTTCAAATAGAAGATGAGCTCAAATAGAGAAAAGCCTAAATACATATACATATGGTGGTATTTATATTACTTTCTATCCTTAATATAACCTTATGTTGGGTATGGGAAAATCAACGGATAACCTCATGTTTGGTAATGGAAAATAAAAAGGAAGAGAGAAAACATTTTAATAAGCTCAATTTAAAAAATTAAAAAAAAAAAGGTTTTCAAAGTTTAATGAAAAGGATGGAAAATAAAAGAGTAATAAAAATAGTATACATGTTCATAAGTTATTGGAAAACTTGACATAATAGATATAAAGAATTTGATATATTTTGTCCTAAAAATTAATTAAAAGTTTTTAACCCCATTTTTTATTTTTTTTAAATTGAGTTTATTCCTTCCCTCCTTTTCATTTTTCTCTACCAAAAATATTACTTGGAGAATAGTAAAGAAGTTAACTAACCAAAATCACATTTTCCTCTACTAAAAAGCTGCATAGTTTTTGGGAAAAACCAATCTAATAGTGTTTATAATTTTATTAAATTTTAAATCAGATCCCTATAATATTTTTTCTTTTTATGCACTCCTTACCGTTTGCTTAGTTACTAGCGTTAGTCCTTTGGATGATAATATTTGCAAACACCGTTCGTTGCAGTCAAGAGGAGCTGATGGGGCGCTACATACGGACAAAGATTGCACCCAAATTAAACCCAACTCCTGAACTTCCATGTTTATACAATAGAATCAGCCATAGCCAAACCTTCCAAACCCAACAAGTCAGGTTTCATGAAGTCCTCCTCGTTTAACTCTGTTCTCTGCCTTTAGTTACCTTAAGTGTACATGGTTCGCCAAAATCAGCGACGCACTATTTTCTTCTTTAGCTTCTTAAGGACTGGATCATGCTCCTCCTTCGTCCACACTTGAAAAGCTCGTTAGATATATTGATTGTTGGGTTTTATATATATGATTTCTTACGAGCTAGCAAATGAACTCACAAAGACTGAAAAAAATCTGTACATGTAAGGATTTAGAAGTAACTTGCCAGGAAAATGAATTGATTGATGAGATACATATTAATGTGCATATTCTCTGTACTACTAACTCAGTTTTAAAAGCAAATTAGGGAAATGGATTGATTATTTGCCAAAATTATTTTCATGATTTTAAATAATTTGGTTTACTAAAGCTTAATTTCAATACCCTAAAGTGAAGCGATTCACTAAAGCAGAGAACAGGGATAGCAAGTGATTCTGCAAAAAAACTTCATAGATATGTTGGGTTGGAAGGTTTGGCTATAGCACATTCCTTTGTGTAAACGAGAAGATTCAGGACTTCGCTTTAATTTGGGCACAATCTAACCTCTTTTGATTGAAACTAACAGCATTTCCAAGAAGAAAAAATATTATAGAAACCTCATTCAAAATTTAGTAAAATTATAAGTACTGCCAAATCAGTTTTCCCTAATTTTTAGATTCCTCGTAACGTTTTATAACTTATTCCGATTGAACCAGGGGAGATAAGCATTGATTGCGGAACAACCCAAGCAAGCCGGGACGAGAATGGGTTTTATTATGCGGCGGACGATGGAGATGTTGTGGAATCAGGTCGCATATATAATGTATCTTCTGAATATCGCAGTAGAGATGAGCAGGTTTGGCAGCAGCTGAGCACTCTGAGAAGTTTTCCAGAAGGGAAAAGGAATTGCTATACCCTTAAACCCAAAGAAGGCAAAAACAACAACTTTCTCGTCAGAGCTTACTACCTGTATGGAAATTATGACAACAAAAGTTCTGTTCCCGACTTCGACTTCCATCTTGGCGTCAATTTCTGGACACAATCATATGAAGCCGACACTGTTCGAAGAATGGAGATCATTCATGTTTCTCCAACAAACAGTATTGATGTGTGTCTTATCAACACCGGCCATGGAACACCCTTCATTTCGTTGCTCGAACTCTGGCCTCTCCACAAGTCTATATATCGAACCGATTCCAATTTATTGCCGCTGGACCTCATGACACGCTCTTCTCTGGGAACGTCTAAAGAAGATTATGCTTTCATCAGGTTAACTATTTCAATCATTTTGATCGTTAGTCAGTACTTACTTTTTCATTTACTAACCTGCATAAATTAAGCATGAATTATTCGTCAAATAATAATAATGCAGGTACTCAGATGATATCTACGGTAGGTCATGGTTCCTTCAAGCAAAGATCGGAAACTCAGAGCCAATCGGCACATCAGTTGCAATTGATGGTGATGTGAGTGACTACAAATTACCCAAAGAAGTGTTGAGCACTGCAATTCGATCACGGAACGGTTCATCTTCCTTGTTTATCGAGTTGGATTACGGTACAGATTACGAGTACTATGTTTACCTTCATTTTTTTGACTTCGAGGAGCATTCTCAAGATCAGCAAAGAAAGATGGAAATAAGTTTCACGGATACCATCCGGGAGAACATAACTCTTCAATACCGGAAGCTCAAAACCATAGTTAAGACAATACCTAAAGGGGTACATCTTCAGAACATTTCAATCAAGTCGACCCCAGATTCTGGTTTACCCCCCATGATCAATGCCTTTGAGTTGTATAGAGTACTGCCCCAACCTTATTCACCAACTCGAGATGGGGATGGCAAGTATTACATATCTATTATCTTATCATTCTCCTTTTACTTAATTCTTCTTCTAGATTTTAGCCAGGAGTGATTTTGTTAGGTTAAACATAAGCGGGGCATAGGGGTATATGTAAAGAGGGAAAAAATCTGCGTTTAGCTTAGTTTGATAATAAGTTGAAAACAGCTTGTTTTAATAACTTCCCCCATGCCCCCAATAACCCCCTCATGTTTAACTAACCAAAATCACTTTTTTTTTTCAATAATTTAAAACAAATTGGCCCTTAACTCCCATCATATTTTAATTTTTAATGGTATGGGAGTTTCTTTTACTTGAATTATTATCAGTTTCTAACACTCAGATCTTTGATTCTGACTTAACATGCTTATGTACTAAATCTCTGAGATGCTGCTTATACCGAAAATAACAGTCAATGCCATGAGGATTGTCAAACATTCATATAACATCACCAAAAATTGGCAAGGAGATCCTTGCATGCCCCGCACTTATAGATGGGAAGGTCTGACTTGTGAGGACTCTGACAGCATTCCAAAGATCACTTCATTGTGAGTAGTCTTTTAATGTTCTAAAGTTTTGTTAGACTTGATAACCTAAGGAAACAATGATATTTTCATACCAAATAGCGATCATTTGTGTTCAAGACTAGGATACGCTGTTCATACTGTTCATTGCTGAATATTGTTCAAGGAGCTGTACTGTCGTATCTTGCGATGTCCAATATCTCTCTTCGCCCTTGATTGTGCTAATTATAGTGAAATTTCCATTCTTGACAACCTACGAGCAGGAACTTAAGCTCAAGCAAATTGATTGGAGAGATAAATACTTCATTTTCTGAGCTCATATCGTTGGAGTCCCTGTAAGTATTTAAGTAATGCCAACTTGAATTTCTTTAGTTACATTCATTATCCAAGCAATTCATAATAATTCTCATGTAATAAATTGTCATGCTGTAGAGACTTGTCCAACAATCAATTGATGGGAGAAATACCTGAAGTTTTAGCAAAACTATCCAATCTGAAGCTACTGTAAGTTGCAATGCTTTAGCATATTTCTGTTTTCTTTTTTTTTTTTTTCCTTTTTTTTTCGGTTAAGCGTATTTCTAGTCCCACAAATATTGTGATTTTCTCACGTGATGTATTAGCAGTAATTTGTCAGGGAACAATCTATCTGGTTCAATTCCAAAGGCTCTAAAGGAGAAGGATGGGACTTCTTTAATATTGAGGTTTGCTTGTTGCAACACTCTTAATTCATTCCTCTGCAGTGGCATTGTCTGCATAGAAAGCCACTTCTTCTGTTGTGATTGAGAATATTCAGAAGAACTTGCTCTATTCTCTCTTCCTCACTAGTTTATTTTAGTTTCAAACATGCTAGTAATTGTCTATGTACTAGATATTATTAACAACATTAATGCCATATGCTAGGTGCATAGTATACCGACAATATTCTATCATACGACTGACGGTTATGTACTGGTGCTTTTTCCCCCTAGCTTGGATCGAAATCCTATTCTCTGCCAAAAAGGTGCTTGCAAAACCAGAAGACAGAAGTCCATTATACCAGTTACTGCGTCTGTAGTAGCTTCTGTAGCAGTCCTTGCAATAGTAATCTGCATATCCGTGAAGTTTTGCAAACGTAAAAGGAAAAAACAAAGTGATATGAAAGGTATGCCGGTGAGCTTACACCCTCACCCTTCCACATATCCACTTTCCCTTCATGAATCTTTGGAAGTATTTATTGTTTGCGAAGTTCGTGCATTAATATACGTGTCACGTTTCTTTCCATCTTTTTTGGATTATTTCTCACCACATTCATTTATAAGAAAGTCCCTGCCCACGTGCTTCCTCCATTTCTGAAAACAAGTGCATTATATTTTTAAAACTTTGGGTTGTTTATGAAACCACATTTGGATTGTCTATCGTACTTATTATTTGTTTATTTCTAAAATTATTTAAATTCAGTTATTAATATATTATGCTGTTGGAATTTTATTTCCATTATTGCAGTGAAGATTTCTTCATTTCAAAAAGAAGGGAATCTAAAATCAAAAAATCGTGCATTTAATCACTTGGAAGTTCTTAGTATTACCAATCACTTTGAAACCGTAATTGGAGAAGGAGGATTTGGGAAAGTGTACCTCGGCAGGCTACAAGATGATACACAAGTTGCAGTTAAGTTACTCTCAAAGTCATCGCAGCAAGGATTTAAGGAATTTCAGTCAGAGGTTAGAAGCAAAAATAGTTAATTATTTGATGTTGGAGTTGAATGTTTTCCTTTATATTGAAATCCAACGCATTAATTTGTCTAGTGGTAATAAAGCTCAAGTTCAAAATGCAGGCAGAACTTTTGATGGTTGTTCATCATAAGAACTTGGTTTCTCTTGTTGGCTATTGTAACGATGATGACATGAAAGTACTAGTTTATGAATACATGAATGAAGGAAATCTTCGACAGAAATTATCAGGTTTGTTAAGTCTTGCGTTTGAAGTCTCAACAATCAGGTTACTTAGTTTGTGGGTGACATGACATTTTTCTATGCACAACCTAAATATTTTGCAGATAAGAACACGTGCCCTTTGAAATGGAATGAGAGACTTCAGATAGCATTAGATGCCGCATGTGGTGAGTAAAATCCTCTTTTCCTCTCTTTGAAATTATCAATCCATATTCCTTCGCTTTCATTCTTTTTAACTGTATGTTTTCAGTGTTCTGTTATGTTAGCTTCAGAAATTATCTTGTTCCTCAATAAAAATTGCAGGATTGGACTATCTCCATAATGGTTGTAAGCCAGCAATAATCCATAGAGATTTAAAAACCGCTAACATCTTGCTAAGCAAAAACATGCAAGCCAAGATTGCTGACTTTGGGTTGTCCAGAGCTTTTGCCAATGACACTGACACTCATATTTCAACTCGTCCAGTAGGCACATTTGGTTACCTCGACCCTGAGTATGTTGTTATATAATAAATTTTTGTTATCATTTTTTCTTTTCTCATCTTTGTTGATCCCCAAAATATAAATTGTTCTATTTTCCTCAACTTCAGCAAAATATAATATAGAATAGCTTATCAGCAACTTGTTCATCATTCAACCCCATCTGGCAATACATATAACTCAGCTTAGCGTAATAACCGCAGCCTTGAATTTTAGCATTGATGGTTAATAAAGCACCTGCTTAGCTTAATCAATTTCTTCAAAGACTGATTAATCTTTCAAAATTTGCAGGTTCCACAGAACTGGAAACCTGAATAAAAAAAGTGATATTTATAGTTTTGGGATAATTCTACTTGAGCTAATGACTGGCCAGCCAGCAATAACGGGAACATCTGACAGCATACGTCACATATCTGATTGGGTTAGTCCAAAGCTTGAGACTGGGGATATCCAAGCCATTGTGGATCCAAGATTAGAGGGAAAATTCAGCAGTGCTTCAGCATGGAAGTTTCTAGAAATAGCCATGTCTTGCATTACACCAACAGCAATCCAAAGACCTGATATAAGTTCTGTTGTAATTGATCTAAAGCAATGTTTGGCTATGGAAACATCAATTGAAAATGCAGAAAGCAGCAGTTTAATCCCAAGCACTACATTGGAAGGAAGCTATTCTCAGTCAGCACCATACTCACCACCATCTGCAAGGTAGCATTGTTTGTAGAGGCATGCGTGGTCTTTCTCTGGATCATCATAACTACTACAGAGATTTGTTTCGGGTGGGCAAACTGTTTGCTTGCTTTGTTTAATTATGTAAAATAAAAAGGTATACATTTGGAAAAAATTACAAAGCAGTACACAATTTGGAGTCAATCAGTCAGGATACTACTCACTATTACCTTTATTTCTTTCCTGTAGTTCCAAATGACGAATAAATCCATTTTAGCTACCTTTGTTTTTATGCTAGCATTCAAGTCAGCACTAACTTTCTTGACATTTCGTGTCTCCCACTATAACCTTTTTCTATACTTTTGCTTTTATATTTTTTACACCTCACTCTTTAGCAACACATGGGTCACTACTCCTTCAAACCACATATTACTTATCTTTTCCTCTAAGTATAAGTTCTTTCACAATATCCGGCTTCACCTCAATTATATATCGTTCAAAGTTCCTAACAAATCTGAATTAGAATAAACCACCCTTCTGTTATATTTTACCTTAATTATAAAGACATTTATTTATTTAGAAAACATAAAGTTTATATATCCAATTGTTAATTAAAATTTATATTAACATATGCCTTATTTGCTTATATACCCTTCACTGTAATAAATCTCTAATTCATCTTAATATCTTGTGTCAAATGTACAAGTTTAAATAAATATGTTTAAAAGTTTTATTTATAAATTAATTAATATATATTCATATAACACCTGCAAGTCTATTATAAACAAGTTGTAGTTAAATTAACTAACTTGTTTCTAATTAGTTGGTCCAGAGGTAGTATCAAGTCTATTTTTCGTACACAAAAATAATTAATAAGAATTAAAAAATATATGTATTAAAATTATTTAATTTTTTCATAAAAAATTACTTTAACGTTGGCTAACAATTAAGTATTTCAATAATTGTCAAACTTTAAATAGCATATTAATGTAAAATATACAACTTATGCCTTCATAGAGGATTGATATGTTTCAAGTATAATTATGTTGATTTTTTAAAACACAGTAAGGAAATCGCATAACTTGATTACAATTAAATTATACTTACGTTAAGATGACATTTTAGTGTTTATTTAGCATCACTTATATACAACACTTATAAATACGTTTCCATAAAAATTTAGATAATTTTTTTTCTATATTTATTTATATTTTATAAATTATGACTGAAAAGTTTATTATAAACCATATTTAAAAAAACCCTTTATCCTTAAAAGAAATGGATCTTTGTATCCAGTGGAGTTCTGTCAGCCTTTTCTTTTTTGGGTTTATCGAGGAAGAGGCATAATAATCTAAGTGGGGTTCGATGATTGCTTCTTGATATATGCAGATGGTGATGTTTCAGGAGAGCTATCCACCCTTTTTAATATTTTCCTTAATTGACGAATTTTTTCGTGTGTGTCTGTGTATATAAAACCTATATATCTGTACACGTATATTTTTTTTTTGGACTCATATATCTGTACACGTATATATATCATTGACCCCATACTAGTTGGTTTCAGGGAACGTGACTACGTGAGCCCCGTTTGGCAGAGTAATAGAAATCTCCCGTAAGCACGTTTTACGTAAATCAAGACAAAATTTCTCATACATACTTGTCTCATATTCCGTAAATTATTATTAAAAAATTATTTATAAACTATTTATAAACTGTTCCAAATAGACCTTAATCATATTTGTGCCAAATAAAGAAACTTGAAACCTAAGCCGGCAAGCTGGAATTAATGGGTGTTTGGCAAAACCAAAACCACGGTTTCAGAATCACTTTTCCGCAAAACGAGGTAACCTCCTCCACATATTTACTTCGTAATCCGTAAAAGCACTTCTGAAACCATGGTTTGGTTTCTATCCAAACACCCTTAGTGTATAGTGGAAAGCAAATTTCAAAGGATGCCTTACAAATTCTTCCCGACTGTCTCTTTCTACAGCCATTATATCAAAAGAAAAAAATTATGATAGAATTTACGACAGGAGATTTTCTAATGTAAATAAATCACAAAATTTAAGTTTTGCAAATCCCTTATTTTTTGTACAACAAATATTCCATCAAACATTAATTTAAATTTTTTTTCCGTTTTCATCACAAATTTCCATTGCAATTTTTCATGTTTAATGACTTCAAGAATCATATATAATATTAATATCAATATAAAATATAAAATTAATAGCGTGTTGTTAATATATAGGCTATAAATTACAGTCATGCTTATTTTCATATTCCATGCAAAAGCTTAGTGAAACATCAAATAGTTCATTTCCGAGACCAACTATAGCAATATTGTAGACCCATCTGTGCCCTCCTTTTAACTAAAGCCACTTTAGTAATCCAAATTAATTGAATTATTATTACTTTAGTCCTTTTTTGTCTACGAAATATCCATACTAACTCATTTTCTGCTCATGAAAGCAGAGCCAGTAGTTTAAGCTACCCAGTTCATTTCTCTTTGTTCCTCTTTCTTATAAACTTGAAAACATGAAGAACACATCATCACTGAGGATTCTGGCTTCTTCCTTTGTGACTATTGTTTCATTCATGCAAGTTGTTGCAGATGATGGCAGCGACTCGGGTGAGGATTCCTAGCTGATCACTTCATTTTCTTCAATTTTTGTTATTAATTTCTTCCATGCTTCACTCATATATGCTTCTCAAGTTCACCTATATATATATATATATATATATATATATTTATATGATAACACAGAAACAAAATAACTAAACAAATACAGATCCACCAAAAACTATAAGAATGTCAAGGATTTAATCAACCAAAACTAACACACACACACACACACACACACACACACACACACACACACATATATAGTAGATCAAGATTGCAAGAGGAAAATAAAATGACTACTCCTTAAACCCACTGAGGAATTTCCTTTAAATCAACAAAGTATAAAGAGTTATAAATATACTACCTCCATTCTCACTAATATAAGGTTTTTTTTTTCCCAAAATTCTTATGTTTCAAGTTATAAAGTATTTTTCATAATTTTGAGAGCAATATAGTTAATACTACTATTTTATCTATAAAATGTCCCTGAGATTGTTGAAAGCACTTTCAAATAATTAATTATTGTAATTAGATTTTAAGAGAATCAACTGTATGTAATTAGAGAAGGGCTCATTAAAACAACAAACGCAAAACTTGGGATGCCAAATACTCCTCTAGTTCTTAATAAAAAAAACTTAATTAAATAATTTGAGTAGACTAAAAATATTAGTAACATTAGTTAGTATAATTTTTTTTAAATACCCTAAACATCTTTCTTAATTTCCTTCTCCCCTCTCCTACTTGATTATTGTTGGAGGAATATCAATAGAGTTAATTTGAAAAACAAAATTGATGAATTTGCGAAATAATTCTTATATATAGGACTAACATTAACTTCCTAATTAGTTCCTATATTAAGAACTGGAGGGTAGTAAACATTTTTTTCTTGGTGGTTGTAAGGTAGTTTATGAACTCTATTTAACCTGAATGTAAGCTACTTTTTTTTTATATTTTCTTTAAATGTGATATTAACATTAAAATCCCAAATTGTCCACAAGATTAAATTAAAAGTGGGGAGTCATCCGTAGTTAAATTAAAAATGTCTGAAATAAAAGAAGGGGTATATGCATATACTACCTTATTTTAAATGACTATGCTGGGATAAATATATGAGATGGGTTTTGTCTCATAAGGCGTAAAATAAGTTCTTATTAAGTGAAGAACTAGTTTCGATGCTCATCACTCTGATGAGCATTCTAAATCATCAAATTTAGACTATCTATATCTTATTTGAATGATCTAGATTTAAAATCTTTAATTAACTATTTTTTGAAAAAATGATAATGAAAAGATTATTTCTAAATAAAATATAAAAGAAATCAAATCTGAACCATCCTAATGAGATATAGATGATTTAGATCTAACAAGCTTAGCTTAATTTTAAGATATCGTGTGATTATTTTGTGATATATAATCAGGGGTGATAAGCATCGATTGTGGGTTCGACCAAACGGGTTATTATTGGGACGACGATGGTTTTTATTATAAGGCAGATAGTTCAAAGTTTGTAGAATCTGGGGAATTACAAAGAGTATCTTCTGAGTACACCTTGACGAGTGAGGACGAACAGCTTGGGCCACAACTGAACACCTTGAGAAACTTCCCAGAAGGAAAAAGGAACTGTTACACGTTCAGACCCAAAAATGGCAGAAACAACAAATATCTCGTAAGGGCTTTCTTCAGATACGGAAACTATGACCACAAAGATTTTATTCCAGTCTTTGAGATGCATCTCGGTGTCAATTATTGGACAACAATTGATGAGTTATCTGGTTCTAATGATATAGTAAGAACCGACATTATTCATGTCGCCTTGTCTGACCACATTGACGTGTGTCTTGTAAACATAGGCCGAGGAATACCCTTCATTTCCTTGTTAGAGCTTTATCCTTTGCCATTTCGTCTATATCATGTCACGTATGAAGCCAGTTTACTGCCATTAAAACTCATCTCACGAGCTAGCTTGGGTGTGGTTGAAGACTCTGTTTTCATCAGGTGACTTCACTAACTTTAGTGTAAGTTACGGTACAAACCAGATGTTATATTTAAGATGGGAGGTAGTATTATGATGAACATAAAAATAAGTGGAATTTCAGTGACCATTGTTGTTCAAATACTTAATGCAGATACTCTGATGATATCTACGGGAGGTCCTGGTTCACAAAAGCCACATTGGACAACTCAGTGCCAATCAACACATCATCGGAAGCTATTGACAATGATTCCACAGAGTACAAACTACCAAAGGAAGTTTTGAGCACGGCAATCCAATCACTAAATCCTTCATTTTCCTTGAACATCAGTTGGGATTATGACACGCATCATGAATATTATGTTTATCTTCATTTTTTTGACTTCGTGGAGCAATCTCAATACCAGAAAAGAATTATGAAGATTGCTTTTACTGATATAATCCAAGACTCTGTAGCTCTTGAATACCAGCAACTCCAAACCAAGTCTTTTCCAATTCCAAAAGGAGTCTCTCTGACTACTATTTCGATCACATCCTCGCCAGGTTCTAGTTTGCCTCCCATGATCAATGCTTGAGATCTATAAAGTACAACGCCAACCCAATTCAACAACCCATCCAGATGATGGCAAGTATACTTGATAATTTCTATTTTGTTATTGTATTGTATCCTTTTCCTTTTTCACTTATGAACGACGGCTAAGTTGGCTTGTTATTTAATTTCTTAATATTCGT